GTATAAGTAAAAACAGCTTTAACTGTGGTATTCAGTCTGGGCTGGCTGATATCTCCAGCTTTCAAAGGCTAGGGGAAAGGCCTCCAATGATAGAGGGACGTTTTATGTACTCATTTTTTTTCTGGCTTTTTGGGTCACACCCGGCGATGCACAGGGGTTACTCCTGGCTCTGCACTCAGGAATTATCCCTGGCAGTGCTCAGGGGACCATATGGGATGCTGGGAATCGAACCCGGGTCTGCCGCGTGCAAGGCAAACGTCCTACCCGCTGTGCTATTGCCCCAGTCCCGTTTCATGTACTCTTTAGGATACTGATTCTCAACCTTTGTTTATTGACATCTTTATGGGTCCTTGTAGCCCTCCCGCAGGCGAAGCCGCACCCCACTAACTCAGACTTCCCCGAGGGCGGGGCCCAGGCGCGGGCGTTTGGAAAGCTGCGCAAAGGAGTCTGACCTTCAGCTAAGGGCAAGAACCAAAGTCCAGCTGCCGAGGCCCGGGGACCAAGGTCGAGCGGACTGCAGCGCAGGGCGATGAGGGATGAAACCTCTGCGGACTCGGCTGCACCCCACGGCCAGTGCACTGTGCCGCACATGGTTAATAAGAGCGGGGATAGGCCGGTCCCACAGTCAGCTAACTGCAACGGCTCAGCTGCTGGAGGGGCGGGGGCAAACACGGAGATTGACAGCAGCTACGGACCAACGAGATGAGACGGGCTGCGGGAGGAGACGTGGCCCCGCCTCCGCCAGCGAGCCCCGCCTCCACGAGCGAGCCCCGCCCCCTGCCAGCTAGGCCCGCCCCCGGCGGTGAGCCCCGCCCCCGGCCGTCCTGGCGTTGTGGGTACGTGAGCGTGGTTGTTGCGCGTGAAGTCCGGTCATGGGCGTTCGTTCTCTTTGCGGATTCTGTTACCATGGTCCCCTAAGTTCGCCTCACCGCGTGGCCTCGCTCCTGGGTTTCTGCGCGGTGGCCTAGCACCATGAGGCGGGCTGCCCTAGGGTAGGTTTCCTGGGGCTGGAAGGAAGGGTTTTGTCAAACCGTCCGGGCTGCTAACTGGCGGGGAGGCGGGGCTACGTGGCGCCTCGAAGGAACGGAAACGCCCCTTTCCTCGCGTTGGGACCCGGGCTGTTGGGGTCTCCTAGCAAGGAGTTGGACGTTCAGAGCGAAGTAGTACTAAGGAAGGTTTTAACGAACCTCCTGGCTCTAGTCAGAAAACTTGTATTTAAGAGTTTCCCGTTATTTTACCAGACCTTTGCCCTCATTTGACTTTATGAAATCAGGCTCTCCGAGAGGGGCAGAGGAATTGAACCCGGCTTGGCCAGCATGGCTGATTCAAGTTCGATTCCTCCACCCCTCTCGGAGAGCCCGGCAAGCTACCGAGAGTATCTCGCCCGCATGGCAGAGCCTGGCAAGCTCCCCGTGATGTATTCGATATGCCAGACACAGTAACAACAAAATTTCCAATGGAGACGTTACTGGGCCCGCTCGAGCAAATCGATGATCAACGGGAGGGCCTTTACTTTACTTTTTACTTTGCCCTCGTTTAAGGAGCGTTTTTAGGGGTAAGCGTTTGACCCAGTTGGACTGACTTGGGTGTGTTGTAACGTGGGCACAGACTCCCCGCTACCTTTTGGGCTCTCAGGACTGCGTGACTTTTAAGGCCGCTGGTGCTCAGTGGGACTTCAGCTCTAGGGAGCAACAGGCCCTGTTGGGGAGGTGGGGGCCCAGGCGGCCGAGGGGGACCGCGTGGACGGGAAGGATGCCTTTCTTTCCCATCGTCTGGGGGCTCTCTGGCCAGGCCTCGCGCCCACTCCAGTGTGTGCGGGTTGGGGTAACGCCTCCCCCCCCCCCCATTGACTGGAGCTTTTGTGCACTCCCACGCTCCCAGGTTCTCTCTGCCTGCCTGGCTTCCAGGACGATCACCACTGTTCCAGTTTCTGCAGTTATGCCGCAGCAGGAGCTCCTGCAGTCTCTCTCCCTGGTGTAGTCTTGGTGATGATGACATTGATCCTGTCATTTCTCTGGGGGCTGCTTCTGGGTCAGGGGTGCTTCCTGCAGATCTTGCTATCAGCTGTAAAGCGTTCTCTCTCTGCCTGCATCTCTCTAGCCCCAACAATACATAGAAACTTTGTTCCACGATTTGAAGACAGCTTTAAAGTCAGTTTGCAGCTCCTCTTTGCACTCAAGTTCCACACACACGTGGAACTTTGGAGTATGGAGCCTCAAGCTGGTTCCATCAGTAGATGGATCAGTAGTGAGAGGTAGATTTCGTAGATGAATAATCAGACTACTGGAGAAGACTGCTTTATCTGACTGGTGGACCAGCTTACTGGCTTTTTGTGTCCAACTTGTAAAAGAGCCAACTGACTTATTCTCTAAATTGAGGCATGAAAATTGCATTTTCTGTTCTGTGCTTAGGGATCCCTCCTAGTGGTATTTAGGGACCATATGGGGTGCTGGGGTATTGACTCAGGGTTGGTCACATGTAAGGCAAGTGCCTTACCTTGTACTATCTCTCCAGCCCTGGCTTTTAGCTTAATTTTAAGTAAATATGGTGAGATAATAAAGAACTTAATACAGGTTCCTAATTGATTTGCTCAGGTGTTTGCCCAATTGATTATGAAGCTAATACAGCAGAAAGAGCAAGAATAAACTCAATAAACCTGGTTGGCATCTTTTACTATTCTAAATAACTACCTACCAGGTCTGCTCTCTGCTTTCCAGATATGTTAACTCTAGATGGAGAGGTGATTTATGAAATAACTTCATATCTAAATATACAAGTACTTGAGAAATAAGTGCAGGGTCCTACAAGACATTGTATTCTAAGGGCATGGCATAGCCATGTACTCTGGAAGGAGGCACAGGTCTTTGGACTTGCCGGAGAAGAAACCATGTCACTTACTTTAAGCGTATTTTTTCTTATAGGCTGTGTAACTTGAGCAAGAGGCTGCTAACTCGCAACAGGGGTCTAATCCAAGGACCTGGGATTCCAGGAAAAGGGAGACTCATCTACATTAATGAAGGTAAGCTTGTGTGGTTAGCTCTTAGACCCATATGGTGAAAAACCTAGATTTTCCTTAAGGGACAGCTCTTTCAGTTAAGTAATTTACACTTTGATTGGTATTGAAATATAGAATGTAATCAATGAATGTGAACAACCCTATGAAAATAAATGTAAAATAAAAGTAATTTACACTTTGGAGGTAGTGATGGGCAAGGCATGGAAAAAGATGTGGTCTTTTTAATTCATCATTGTGTTAGAAAGCCTATTTATCCATGTTTAGGTGAAGTTAATGTCAGTTACTAATTGGTGTGTAAAATATGAATGCCAGTTTCTTCATTATTACTAAAACTGTGACTTATTTCAGAGGTAAAAATACATATACGTGTATACTGTTAAAAATCTCTCTTTTTTGGTAGTCAGTAGCCACACTTCTTCTTATACTCAAGACCCATTAATAATCGTTTGATGCTCAGTGAGCATTAGTGATTTGTGTAGTCTTCCAGGTACATTCTGCCTATTCTTTTTTTGTAAAAGGAACTCAGGAGAAAAAATATCAAAAATAAGATTAATTTACTAATAGTTTTTTTTGCAGTTTTCTGTGGTTGTAATTAGAGCTCACACAAAATTCATGGTATATATTCTATTGTTTGATAGCAGAATCAACCATTTATTCAGAAAGTTAAAGTGCATGTTAACCTAACCGTGTTTGCTCTTGATTAGTTATCAAAAGACCAAGGATTTCCATGGTTAATTTCCTAAAACTGGAGTATAAGTTTTCAAATGTTCAAAACACACTAGAATTCAACAGACTATTTACATTTGGTAGATTTTTTTTTGATTTAGTACTGCTCATCTAATTAATTTCCCTTCATCCTTCTAGCATGTGCACCTGTATGTGTGAAACATGGTAATTAGTATCTGATTTTCTTAACACTTAAATATTTCCCCACTAATTAGTTCAAACACCTTTGCAGTTGGCATGAATTAAAAATCAAATTGCGTCTTTGCTTTGATTTAAAAGTCTTAGCTTTATCATTTCTTTTGGGTTTTTTTTTTTGGTGGTTTTGTTTGTGTTTGTTTTGGGGCCACATCCCATGGTGCTCAGAGGTTACTCCTGTCTCTGTACTCAGGTCTCACTCCTGACTGGTTTCAAGGGATTATATGGGATGCTGGGGCTCAAACTCAGGTCAGCCGCATGCAAGGCAAGCACTTTACCCACTGTACTATAGTTTCAGCTCTACTTTATCATTTTTTTTCTGGCTTAATTTTTCCAAAAATTGGAAAAATATAACTGGAAGCCAATTATAATGACTCAGAGTTAGATATTTGGACATTAGCATCAATTCCCCCCTCCCCACATCTTTTTGGTGCTTGGATTTAAACCCAGAGCTCACACATAGAAGGCATGTGCTTTACTATTGAGCCATATCTTGGCCTCTGGTCCAAGTAATTTGATCCACCACTTCTCACAAGACAGATTGTGATGAACCCTTGGAGATAATCCAGAGGGCTGGCACACGTGCCTTGCATGCAGGAGGCCTGGATTCTATTCCCAGCCCCACATGGTTTCTTGAGCACCACCTGCAGTGACCCTTGAGCACTGCAGGGTATGGTAAAAAAAAAACCCAAAGAATAAAATATAAAATAGGTGGGAATTCTGTTCCTGATATCTCCATTATCAAGGAATTAATCTACCACTGGTACAGCCCCAGTCTCTGTAATTAGAGCTGACTCCTTTTTTGTTTTGACTGTTTAATCGCAATAATTTGTAGATACTGCATTCTATGCTTAGAACACAATAGTTTCATGCTTTTAGGAAGCAGATACAGAGGCTTGACCCTTTTCCTGCATTGTTTGTGTGGCATTAAATGAAAAATCTTGGTGCTTTAAAGCTTTTGAATGCTTGAGTCACTTTTTTATAGTTCCTGAGCTCTTTGTCATAATCGACTTCTCATATATCTTTGTTTCATTCAATAATCTCTTTGTTTTCAGTTCAAGAGATGTTGCGTGAGATATTAGGAGTGTCCCTGATCTGGCGGTATGTATTCTTTGATTCATTCTTTTTTTTTAATTTCTAAAGTGGTAAGTTACCTTTAGGTCAGTCATGTTGTAGAGATGGGGGAATCTGTTTGTGGATGCGTTTATTTTTTTAACTTGAAGATTGACAGTACAGTAATTCATCAGTTCATAGATCATCATAAAATAGCATGCTTAGTATGTAATTTAGATTTTTCAGAGTGCATCCTCACTGACTCTCAGCGAAACTTGGGTATGCTGATGGCTTATGTTCTATGCCTTTTTGCATATGATTAAACTGACACTCAGGGAGCTTGAACAGTAAGTATTAAACTTGAAACTTGAACCCAAAACTATGGGTTTCCATTTCATGCAGTCTGCTTCCTTTTTCTTGTTCCTGCATAATTCACCTGGTCTCCCTCTGACTCTTTCTCTTTTAGCATTTCCCTGTTGTAATATAGGATGATAATGACCCTCTTGGTGTAGGCAATTTTGAAGTTAAAATGAGATAAATCATAAGACTCTGGGTGATCAATAGATACTTAAAAAAATCTATTGTTGGTTTATAGTATAGTGACTTTGAAACTGTTTATATAAAGAATTTCAACAAAATGCAACTTGTAGCAACATGGATGGATATCATTTGAGGATATCATGCTGAGTGAAGTCAGTTAGAATGAAAGGGATGGAGAATGATCTCTCATATATGGGACTTAGATACATAGTAAGGCAAAAACAGGGCCGCAAGCAGTCCAACAGTATAGCTGATCCATAGACTTGAGTTGCGAGGGTGGGGGTGGGTGTTGAAAGGGAAGGGTGTTAGGGTCCTTGTGGGACGGAGCACTCTGGTGATGGATTTGGTATTGGTATTATGCGCATATGAGAAGCCATCATTAACAGTATTGTAAATCACAATTAAAATATTTTAAAAGAAAAAATTCAATATATAAATCAACATGATGTATACCTTAAGCCTATACAGTACATATCAATTTTATTTTAATAAAAATAGATTTGAGGGATAGGAGCAATAGTTGATCGGGAAGGCCACTTGCTTTGCATGCAATCCCCGGCACTCCGTATGGTCTTCTTAGCTCCATCAGGAGAGATTCCTGAGTGCAGAGCCAGGAGGGAGCCCTGAGCACTGTTGGGTATGGCCCCAAACAAAAACAAACACACTCTCTCTATAAATATATTTGAAAACATTTCAGGGATTGGGAAGAAGGCTTCCTTTGTTTCTTCTCACTGTCTTGACATTAAAGATTTTGTGTCATTTATCTCATCTAATTTTCCAGATTATGGCTTTACCTGGAGCCATTTAACTTTTTTCTGTTGCCTTTTTGTTGTTAGCTAAACCTTCCTAACAATACTTCATAAGTGAAGCTTAGAAAGAATTCTGAATTAAGGAAACTCAGAATTTCAGTTCCTTATTCCTTTGTCTCTCTCCATCTCTTCTGTCTTAATTTTCTCTTTCTTTTCTGTCTCCTTTTCATGTTTTCTTCTTTCTCTTTTGTTCTGCCCTCCGTAATTCTTTCTGATATGCACTTTTTTCCCTCTCCTCTCCTCTTTCTTGAATTTGGTGGCAGAAAAAAAGAGTGATCCAGGAAGGGAAGGAAGGAGTAGGGGAAAGTGAGAGAGAAAGGGAGGGGAAGAGAGGGAGAGAGAGACACAAGCATGAGGGGAGAGCCCCCGGGCTAGCTGGAACACACGAGAAATGTGGAACTTAGTGGGTGTGCCAGTCTGTACCCTGTCTCTAGAGATTCTTTTGTCCATCTCTGTATTTTAAATTTGGTTTCGAATATTCTCTTTTTGAATATTTTTTTCCTCTTCGGGAAAACATAAGTCAGCAGTACTTGAAGGTTGAATACTCTCTCCTTGGTATTAGGGATACCATGTGATGCTGGGATTGACCCCGTCAAACCCGAACCTCCTACATGCAAAGCAAGTGCTCAGCTCTTTGCGCTCTCTCTTATGCCCCTGAATACAGTTTTTGAGGACGGTCAATATACGATTCATTTGGTATTTCCATATATTTTTTTCAGTGTAGTTTTAAATATACAAGTGCAAGTTTGTGCCAGTTCTCAGTTTCCCTAGGTGCCATGTGGGAAGGGGTGGGTGAAGAAATGCAGTAGGTACAGACCTTCTCTTTCTTCCCATAGTGGTGTCTTACTGACTTGTGCCTCCGAGTTTCAGGATAGCCCTGCTCCTGTGTTTCACAAAGCTTGCCTGCTTTCTTCTCAGAGACCATGTGAGAGCAATGGAGGAAAGAAAATTGCTCCGTAGATTTTTGGCTGAGTCGCAGGAACAACTGTCTCCTAGGAGAATGAAAGACAGTTACATCGAAGTTCTTCTGCCTTTGGGCACTCAGCCGGAACTGCGAGAGAAATATCTGACTGTTGAAAATACTGTGAGGTAATCCAGAACTGTTTTTGTTTCCTGTTTGTTCTTCTTCTTGTTGTTGTTTTTATTTTGGGGCTTTTATTCTTTTTTTAATTTTTATTTTTCAATTGAACCACAGTGAAATACACACAATGTTGATCATGATTGGATTTCATTGGTGGTGGGAAATATACACTGGTGAAGGATGCGTGTTGAAACATGATATGACCGGGATCCTGTCTGTTTTTGTGGGGCCACACAGGACAATGTGCTCAGGAATGGTGGTTCTTGGGCCTATCGTATTTGGCAGCCACTAGGGCCACACCTGAGGTGATAGGGGCAGACAGTGTGGTGCCAGAAAGTAATGGAGGGCAACACATTTGGCCACTAGATCCACATCTTTGGGCCCTGTTTTTTTATTTTTAGTTATGACTTTATTATTGTTTATGAAATAATTCACACACAATACAAGTCCCTAGTTTAGAGTGCAAATCTGTGGATTCTGAATATGCAAGGATTTGTGCAGCAATCACTATAATACACTTCAGACCTTTTCTTTTCCACAAAATCTTATTTATTTTTAAAGGGAGATGATTCCATTTAAACACAGTTTTCTTTATTTCACAGATTTGGCAGGATTCTTGAGGATCTTGATAACTTGGGAGGTACTGGTATTGTTTTACTATCTCTAAATTGGTACAGCTATCCATTGAGTTCTGTGGCTGGATTTATTTTTTATTTTTTTATTTAGAAGATTATTCCAAATTTTTCTTTATTCTTGCATCTTCACAGATGAGAGCAGGGAAAAAAGGGTGTCTATGACTGAGTTGTAAATACTCTTTAGAATGTAAACTCCTTTTGAGTTGTAATTTGATGTATTTTAAGAAACTTTTTGTTTGGTTGTGGAGCACACCTAACCATGTTCAGGGGCCTCACCTGGTAAAGTACTTGGGTGTTGCTCCTGGAGGTATTCAGGCACCTTGCAGTGCTAGGAATGGGACTTGGGATCCCACATGCAAAGCATGTGAATTATCTCTTTAGGCTATTCTGAAGCTTTTTTGTAAGAAAAAGAATTTTTTAAAGTTTTTTTTAAGTTTTAAGAAGTTGAAGAGATTATGTAGGGGTCAAAGTGCATGCTCTATATGTGGCCAAATCTGGTTTGATTCCCAGCATCACAGGTTCCATCATGCACCGCCCACAAGTCATAGAAGCACTTGAAGCCCCAAGCACTGCTGGATGGCCTGGGTAATCCCCAGCCATGGTCTGAGCATTGAACTATTGGCCAGCAGAATTTCTGGGAGAGATCCTGGCACCCTGATAAATGCTTGAGAGTCTTCCAACAAGATTTTAAATTACAGAAAAGTGTTAAATTAAATTAAGACGTAGCCCTTCCCTGAAAATGAGAGTGTTGGTGAAATGATGCACATCACCCCCAAATATTTTCATGTAGATGATCTACAAATAAGGACATTCTACATGGCCTCAATGCAACCATCAAAATGAGGGAAATAACACTGGTGTGTTGAAGTGCTAATCCTCAGACTGTGTTCAACTATTGCCAGTGTTCTTTCCTAGCAAAGGATGAAGTTCTGGTCACATTGTGTGAAGATTTCCTGTCAGGAATATTCCTCAGTCTTTCCTTGGCTTTTAGATCTTCACACTTTAAACATTATTTTCTGGGTTTGATTTTTGTGGAAGTCCCTCACTTTGGGTAGTTTGTTGCTTCTCCATGATTAGATTCAGGACATGTGTCTTTGTCAAGAAAGCCACAGAAGGGATGCTGTGTTCTTACTGCATGCTGGCAAGTGGCTTGTAAGTTTAGTTCTTTTCAGTTACTGTGCTATTTACTCATTACCTTGAGGAGCAGGCAGTGTCTGCCATGCTTCTTGAACATAAAGACACTCTGTTTTCTTTTACAGTACATAGCTCCTAGGGAGGTACTTACAGGCCTAGGTATTTAGAGACTTGGTAAACACCCCATCCTTTGCCAGATTTTCTGTTTATTGTTCTTTTATTTTATTCTTGTGGTACCATGACATTTTAGCACTGCCTGCCAGATTTATTTTCAATCAGTGTGCACTCAGGGATTCCTGCTTCATTGATAGAATGTGTTCTTTTCATCTGTTTTGATCAGCCCAAACTCCAAAGAGATCTGGCTCTTTTTACTTTTTGGTGAGGTGGGGCTCAAAAATGAGTATTAGAGTGCCTGGGGGCCATTCTAGATGACTCTTGGCCACCCCAGATGACATGTGGCCAACTGGGCCAGACAGCTCAATGCTCTGGCTGGCAATGTGATGCTGCTGGAATCCAGGTGAGTTGCAAGTGTTGGGCTTCCACAAGAGCCATGCCCGCCCATGCCAGGGACTTGCAGTGCTGGGCATTAATTTGGAGTCTCACCCTTTTGAGCTGTCTTCCCAGCCCTGAATCTTTCTTTCTTGATTGTTTTGGGGCTTGGGGCCATACTTGGAGGTGCGTGATAGCTGCTGCTGGCTCTGTGCTCAGGGGTCACTCCCAGCAGTACTTAGGGTACAAATGTGATGCCAGGGATCTAACCTATACCTCCCAGATACAAAGCATTTGCTCAGCCCATTGAGCTATCTTGAGCCATCTCTCCAAACAGCCCTGGTTCTTTATAAAATGAAGGAAGGTATTTACAAGCCCAGAAGGGGGTGCTAGAAAGAGATGTTGCTGCCAGAGCATCAGTGCTCTCGTTCCCTGTCAGTAAGTGTATACATTTGCTTACAACTGTGTGCATTTTTATTGGACTGTGAAGCCATGGGTTCACACTGATCATTCTAGCTCCAGTTTATCACCACGGAGTTTATTCTTACTCTATCACTGCTCAAATTTGTGAGTCCCTTTTCCAGTTACTTTTGTGATCCTTAATTTCTTATTTCGTCAGTTCCGATTTTGTGCAAAAGTTCTTTATTTTTATTGAATTACTGTGAGATAGACCCTTACAAAGCTGTTCATGATTAGATTTCAGGCATACAGTGTTCCAACACCCATCCCTCCACCAGTGTACATTTCCCAGCACCAGTGTCTCCAGATTCCTTCCCATCATCCCCCACCCCACCCCCAGTCTGCCTCGAAGGCAGGCCCTTCCCTTTCTCTCTCCCTTCTCTCTCTCTCTCTCTCTCTCTCTCTCTCTCTCTCTTTCTCTCTCTCTCTCATAATCATTTTTGTGTCACCATAACCGCCAACCCATTATGGGCACTGCTGCACCTCATTGGGGTTCTACTGAATAGTGGGCTTATCTGCATTCACTCTCCTCATTGGGCTCAAGCTACATCATGCTCCCTGTTATTGGCCTGTCCTGCGCATCCTCTTCCCCCTACCTAGCTCTCTTGCTTGCTCCCAACTTATGAGCTTTTAACAGAACTGTTGGGAAAGGGGTTCAAGATGCTCTCTAAACCTATTATTTAGGCTCATATCCCGCAACTTTCCCTCCAGATTAAATAAACATGGTTAAAATGGAATGGTCTTTAAAGAAAGTTCTATATTGAGAAACAATGCAAGGGCATAGGTGGCCAGGGAGGAAAAATCCTGAGATTCTGCAAACAACAGGGACTACCAAATTGAGAGGGGTGTGGTAAATGGGGAGGGATGGATGAGAAGGGACCGAGAGGGAGTGGTGGAGGGATATTGGCCCTTTGATGCGGGTGTGCTATGGTGACATTTATGCCTAAACCATTAATAATAACACTGTTAGGACTCTTGTTGCCTCAATACATTTCTTAAAAAGATTGCATGCTTCCACACGTTCACTAGACATCGGTTTGCTTAGTTGTCCCTTAATTATAAGCTCCTTGCCACCGCTCCATTTTTCCCCTCATCACCTCTGTTAATAGCCAGTCCCTTTATTTTGCACTTGGTTCTGTTCCTTCTGCTTCTTCAAGGAGTTTGTCTTATCAACTATGCCTTCTCTTTCATTTCCCAACTCTTTTTTCAACTTGTTTCCCTTCAACTTATAGTCATGGCTGTTTTACCTTAAACTCAGCTGTAGGTAAAATCCCATTGTCTTTCATTCTTCTCAAACTGTAAAAACTGGACAAACTGATTTGCTTTCATTGTCACTGCACCTGGCCTGGCATTTCCCTGCTATGTTCTGGCTTCTCCTCTATGCGGCAGAAAAGGCACCTGCCAAGCTCCCCACTGGTTTCCTCAGCAGCCGCCATAAGGGTGCTTCTCAGTGAAGCGCTGACATCAGGGAGCCTAACCCTTTGCAGCTGGTGATTTTGTAGAGAACACCCTTGGGCTTTGGAGCTATATCCTCCTGCTACACTGATTGCTCCTTTTGGTCTCATTTGTCAATTTTTCTTTCTTCTTCATCCCAAACAGCTCAGTTATCCCTTGGATTTCTGCCCCTTTGGTTGTTACCTGCACATTCTTTCTAAGTCCTTGTCTACTCCCAGTATATCAGTTGTTATCAGTTTCTGGATTACTCAGGAAGCTTATGGCTTACTTAGGAAACTACTAGTTCTTCATGTGCAATTCTGATCTGAAGGCCAGTTTTTGTCCTGGCTAGTGGGCATTTTTATTTGCACAGTGTGCCATGGTGAAAAAAATCCCATCTTTTTGTCACTGAACTGTTCTCTTTTTCAGTGAATGGGGCAACACTTAACTCAAGGCGGCTGGAACCTGTTTATTCTGATCCTGTTAAATCTACCCTTGGGTCTCCATTTTCATTAATATTGCCATCGGTCAGACTGATATGACCCCTGTGTACCAGATAGGCTTTAGAATGGATTGTATTGCTCTGGTTTCAGCTGCATTCTGTCCTTTAGCAGGTGTGTGAATAGAGGATCTCTTGTCATTCAGCAGACATTCTGTGAGTGTTCCCCTGTCCTGAGTGCTGATGGTACAGATATAACAGGACTGTGGGGAAGCAATGAGGCCACTAAACACAGAAGTACAATGACCTAATAAGTCGATGTTATCCCTCCTCCCCCAAAATAGTATGCTTTGGCACATAGTAATTCTGTGAAAATTTGGAAGCGGGAGCTGAGGTTTTTGGGGAAAGGAGGGATAACTTTGAACATAATCATTTCTCCATGATTGGGAGAGAGTGAGGTAGAAAACAGCTAGCTGATTTGTTTCTTATGATTTGCTTCTCTTTTCTGAAGAGGTTTGAGGCAATCAGAGGTAGATGGCGGTCTTTTTTCGATTTAGGTACTGAGTCTCTGTGGAGTCGTGACAAGCCACTTAGGGACCCGACCTTGTGGGTTTGGCTTCCTGCTCAAGTCTGAAATAGTGCATAGTGATACAAAGAATCATTTTATTTTATTTTTTTATCATTTTTTTTTATTAGTGAAACACCATGAAGTACACTTATAGACTTATAAATTTTTGTGCTTGGGTTTCAGTTATACAATGATCAAGTACCCATCCCTCCACCAGTGCCCATCCTCCCCCACCACGGGTCCTAGCATCCCTCCCACCCCCCATCCCCCCCCCCCGTCCCACCCTGCCGCTGTGGCAGGGCATTCCTCCCTGTTCTCTCTCTCTTCTTTTGGGTACTGTGTTTTGCCAGAGAGGCATTGAGTGGCAGTCATGTTTGGTCTATAGACCACTTTTAGCATGTCTCTCCCACCCTGGGAGGGTCTTCACAACACCCTTTATTTGGTGCTCTCTTCTCTATCTGAGCTTCCTTCTCACCTAGCACATGTGGCTGGCCTTCAAGTCATGGAGCAAAATTCCTGGTACTAATCTCAGCCATTCCTGGGTGTTAGTCTCCCGTTTTGTTGCTTTGTGTTCCCCAGATGAATGCAATCTTTCTGTGTCTATCCCTCTCTTTCTGACTCATTTCGCTTAACATGATACTTTCCATATAGTACCACTTGTATGTAAATTTCATAACTTCATCTTTTCTCACAGCTACATAGTACTCCATTGTGTAAATGTACCAAAGCTTCTTTAACCAGTCATCTGTTCTCGGGCACTCAGGTTTTTTTCCAGATTCTGGCTATTGTAAAGAGTGCTGCAATGAACAAACAATTGCAGATGTCACTTCGACTATACATTTTTGCCTCTCTGGGATATATTCCCAGGAGTGCTATAGCTGGGTCAAATGGGAGATCGAATTCAAAGAATCATTTTAAATGATATCCGTGTATGGAAGTCTGCTTTCCTAGGCTAAATTACGATGGGAACTCATTGTGGGAAGAATTGGATTTTCAAAACAGGAGTTATAACTTTGTGATTTTCAGGGAATACGTTTTCAACGTAAAGAAATAATTTTGCTTTTCCATTGTTTATCTTCTATATCCCTACAGTTCTTATTTGCTACATGCACAACAAAACTGATTCAGTTCAGGTGTCTCCTTTCTCAATAGTTACAGCCCTTGTGGACAAGATTGGTAAGACATAATTCTCTATGCATAATTAAAATTTTCTGTATTTCTAATGTAGTTTTGATAATAGAGGATATATTATTTTTATGTTGAAATTTTAAGTTATACCTGTCAAAATGGGACTGGAGCGATAGCACAGCAGGTAAGGCGTTTGCCTTGCAAGCGGCCAATATGGCCGACCCGAGTTCGATTCCTCTGCCCCTCTCGGAGAGCCCAGCAAGCTACCGAGAGTATCTCGCCCGCATGGCAGAGCCTGGCAAGCCACCTGTGATGTATTCGATATGCCAAACGCAGTAACAAGAAGTCTCACGATGGAGATGTTACTGGGCCCGCTAGAGCAAATCGATGAATTACGGGAGGACTGTGACCTGTCAAAATATCTCTAATGCTTTTCAAAACTGTTTTCTGTATATTATGGTAGGAGTTTTGCATTGTTCTTGTTTTATTTCCCTGGAGATAAATTTTTATGGTGTGTATTAATTATTTGGACAATATAAGATGAGAGAGAAGGAAGGATGACAAAATCATAAAAGAAATTCATTCAATTAAGAAAAACATGGACCCATACCATGGTGTCCTCTGAATTCTCTCTAGTTATATTTTTGGGGCCACATCAGGTGTTTCTCCTGGCTCTGTGCTCTATCCTAGGAGTACAAGAAGTCCATATAGGGTGCCTGGAATTCAACCAAGGTCATCCCTATGCAAGATAATTACCATAAACCATGTAGTATCTCTTTCCCCCCACTCTTCCTTTCAGTCTTTAATGTTCTTTACATTGATTATCTTTTACAAATAGACATGTAAATTTTGCTTAAATGGCAGAAGTACTTTTATTTTTTTTGCTTTTTGGGTCACACCCGGTGATGCTCTGGGGTTACTTCTGGCTCTGCACTTAGGAATTAGTCCTGGCAGTGCTCAAGGGACTGTGTGGGATGCTGGGAATTGAACCGGGCTGGCCGCGTGCAAGGCAAATGCCCCACCTGCTTTACTATTTCTCCAGCCCCAAAAGTACTTTTTTCTTTGAAGACAAATCCAACTTGCCAACATTTCAAATGAAATTGTCCCCTTAAAGTATGGAATATTTTTGGTATGGTTTGTACGTAATTAAAAAAAATTTCTTACAGATTTGCATAAGACACGCTTAAATCCAGAGCAGGACATCAAGTTTACTGGCCATGTTAGCTGGGTCGGTAAGACATCCATGGAAGTGAAGATGCACATGTTTCAGGTGAATATATGCCACAGTGACCACTTGTCTAGTATGCAGCCAGTTTGTTTGCAATGAAGGAACAACTTAATTACTTGCCTATGGTAGGCATATAGCCCTCTGCTTATAGAAGTAAAATGGAAAATTCATGTGGGGCCACTACAATGATTTGGTGGTTTAAAAGGTAAAAAAGTAAAATGGTTAAAAGAATTGCCAGTTGGGGCCGGAGTGATAATACAGTAGGTAGGGTGTTTGCTTTGCATGTGCTGACCTGGGTTTGATACCGGGCATCCCATATGATCCCCTGTTCACCAGCAGGAGTAATTCCTGAGAGCAGAGTCAAGAATAACCCCAAAACATTACAGGGTCTGGCCCCCAAACAAAACAAAACAAAAAGTGATTGCCACACACTGTGGGGTTGCAAGTTCAGAACCCTGGTGTCACCCAAAGACTCTGGGGGCATCCTTACAGCTCTGCTCTTTGGAATTTCTGGTGCAAAAGGGCCTGGAGCTGAATCAGTCCCTTCAGCAGCCCTTGGGTAACTGTGCAGTCTTGAGTTTAATCCTGGTGTTGGTGCATGAGCCCAAAGACACTGTGTGTGACCCAAATGTGCACTAAAATGAAGTCAATCTCGTTGATGTTAGATTATCAATTTGGTGTTTATTTATTTATTTATTTGCTTCTTGGGTAACACCCGGCGGTGCACAGGGATTACTCCTGGCTCATGCACTCAGGAATTACTCCTGGCAGTGCTCAGGGGACCATATGGGATGCTGAGAATTGAACACAGGTGGGCCGCGTGCAAGGCAAGCACCCTACCCGCTGTACCCCCAGGTGTTCATGTTTTGAATATGCTTGTTTCTGGTTTTTCCTAAGAGACTTTCAGGAAAGGGTGAAATATGTTAGGTATGAATGGGATTGGGGATTGGTAACTTATGGTTCCATTGGGCTGCTGCAAGTTAGAACTGCACCTTGATGGTTGAAACAGCCCTGAGCTATCCGTGGTTTGATGACAAGAAGTCCAAGATCAAGGTCTTGCAGTACCCTGTGCCTTGGAAGCCATGGAGAATATTCTTCCTTGCTTCGTTCTAGCTTCTGGTGGTTTTCTGGCCACCATTGGTGTTCCTTGACTTGATGCTGGAGCACTTCTGTCTATCTATGTGTTGTCACTTGAGTTCCTCCCTGTGTTGTCACTTGGCTTCCTCCCTCATGTGACCATGTCTTTGTGTTGCTTCTCCTTTTCTTAGAAAGACACCAGGCACACTGACTTCAAGGCTCCCCACACTCTCGTTGGGCCACCTGCCCTCTTGTCATGCCTGCAGTGACCCTCCTTCCAAATACTCATGTGTGCAGGTCACAAGGCTGGGGAACACATAAACCCACTAATATTCACTTAGACGTCTCACAGCAATTCAGAACAGCAGCACTAATGAGCAAAATTTTGTATGGTCATTGCTTTTTTAAAATGACAAAATTTTACAAGGAAAGATAGCTCAGTGAAATCATAGCACAAAAATGAAATAATTCTGAGTATGTCCAAGATTATAGTGGGAAATGTGATTAAGAATGGCCTATTCAGTTTTGCTAGGTTTTCCAGGCAACAAATGCATTGCCTTAATACATTTTTTGTTACGGAGTTATGAAGCTTTTCACCTTGTGGCAAATTTACAAGGTAACAAACTTCAGTATAGGATCAACCCATCTATTACAGTTATTTTTTTTCTTTTTGGGTTACACCCAGTAATACACAGGGGTTACTCCTGGCTCTGCACTCAGGAATTCCTACTGGCAGTGTTTAGGGGACCATATGAGATGCTGGGAATCGAACCCACCCGGCCACATGCAAGGCAAACGCCCTACCTGCTGTGCTATCGCTCCAGCCCTTCTTACAGTTATTAAATAATATTTTTTAATCTGATGCACTATGCAACTGGCATTATCTTTTGATGCCTGCGTTGCTTGTGACTGAAAGTAAAACTTGTTTAACTGTTGTGGAGCCACAGCTCGCATTATTTGGGGATACTCATTGTGATTTTAGACAACCAGAGCTGTTGTAGAAATGCATAGGGGTCCAGGTCCTTAACCAGCTGTGCTCAGGGCACTGTGTGGTGCTAGGGATTGGACATAGGATCGCTCTATAGTTGGGCAACATCCGCAATCACAATAATACTTTAGAAAATAATGTTTGGTAGATGTCTCTATTATCTGTCCACATTCTTTTTATCTACACAGTTGATTCCTACCTTGATCATTGGCACATTTAGAATTGTATATTCTTAGCATTGGACATGCTTTCTGGGGAATTTCATCAATGTAAATATTTGACATATAAGTTGAAAAACATAAACTAATATGGGGAGAAACCAACAAAATTCACTGCAGACAAGCATCAACTTTTTATAAAATGTACTCTTCTCATTGACCATTTTGGTAATGACTTATGATTGGAGTGAACCTTTCTGTTGCTGAATGGAAGGTGTTATCCTCCTGATTTTCCCCTTGCCCTAATACCTTGTATTCTGACTCTCACTATCCACAGTGCACCATGCTTCTAGGTTCTTTTTTAAAGGTAAAAGGTAAAGGCCCTCCCGTTGATCGTCGATTTGCTCGAGCGGGCCCAGTAACGTCTCCATTGGAGACTTTGTTGTTACTGTGTTTGGCATATCGAATACTCTCGGTAGCTTGCCGGGCTCTCCGAGAGGGGCAGAGGAATCGAACTCGGGTCGGCCATGTTGGCCGCTTGTAAGGCGAACGCCCTACCCGCTGTGCTATCGCTCCAGCCCCAGGTTCTTTTTTAAAATTTTAAATTTAATTGTATTTTTATAAAGTTGTTCACAATAATTTATTACATTCAATATTCCAACACCAATCCCACTACCATTAAGCCTTGCCATCACCATTATTTAAAATTTTCCCACCACCACCCAAGCCTGCCCAAAAAGCAGGCCCTAAATAATTTATTTTGTATTGCTTGTTGTTATGTTATGACTAATCCTCTAAAAATCCCAAAAAGTTTCCTTAGAGGAGAGTGTGTGAAGATTGTTGTATCTTACCCTGGAGCCATTAAACCGTTGTATAAGAGATTGCTAACGTGTTGTTCCAGGTTGAGCCTTGTGTGCTAATATTTTTTGTGATTGAGATTGGTTGCCTTCTACTTCACACCCCATCCAGTTTGGTGTGCTACTCCTGTACATCAGTGGTGTAGAATATGAGATGTCACTCCAGGAATTCTAAAATTTTAAATAGGGTGATACAACTCAGGATAAATTTTTAAGTGGACAGTGACTTTGGGGTCCAGAGGCACATCTCTACAGCTTGTTGATATCTTCTGGGATTTATTTGTGAGTCTCTGGATCATGATCATTAATGAGCTTATATGGTGCCACAGGCAGTTTGTGGGCGTGACTGCCAGACTCCAGGAAGACCAGGGAGGATGGGGGAGGTCACTCATTCCTGACTCCTTGAAAACGTTGAGATTTTTGTCACAAAACCTACATAACTTAAGTTTTTCAACAGGCTCACTCATGCATGAGGCTGGTCCCAAGCCTGTGGAGTCCGGCTGTGAGCATGGTGGCGGTTGGGTTCTGGAGGTTTTCAGGCTGCTGGTGCTCCATTGGATCAAGTGGTGTGCTCCCCCTCCCCCCTCTGGGGTTCCCTGGGTGAGACTCAGCCTGGCGCGGAGGCATCTCTTCTAGGTTCTTTCTTGCCTGAGTTCTTGCCCTTCTTCCCAGCTCACGGTACCTGCTGCTTCCCCCAAGCTCCTTCCTTAGCAGTCTTTCTCTGATCCTTTCACTCCGCACCTGCTAATCTCTGGCCCAAAGCACAGCATACAAACCTATATTTTCTTTTCAGGGATTCTGTGCTCTTCATCAGGATTTGTTGAGGAGTCACCAAGACATGTTTTCTAGCATCTGCTCAGTAACTTTCTCTTAGCCACTTTTTACTGAGCACAGAACCTATTCTGTACTAGCTATATGGCAGTGGGAAAAACTCAGGAAGTCCTATCCTCTTGGAGTTTGCAAGATGCAAAACTGTGATAATTACTTGCCTGCCTCATTCATTAACTGACACTCATTAATTTTGTATGAAAATGGAAAAAAGTGGTCTTGGTGCTGTAGGCGGTCGTAGAGTCATGGGTGCTCACAGAGAAAACACAAACAAGTGCTGGTAGTTGACACACTAAAGCTTTGTACAAATGCCAGGGCTGTGTGAGCAGCAGGAGTTCACTCCTTTGTAAACATGGGCAGAGTTGCAGAGAGCTGGTTTGAGCACTCTGAAGAGCATGTAAATGGCATGTTGCCGGAGGTCCTTTTGTTATCATTTCCTTGTGTACCATTCATGTTCGACTCTGAATACTGTAGTTTGTGCTCATGCCAGCACTTTTCACAGGTGCTCTGTTGTGTGTCTTCCCTGCGGGATCTCAGACTTCTAGAATATGCTGCAGTTCCCAGGGTGCATTTCTGTGCCTGAATTAGGTTAAGGAGCTTAGTGACTGAGGGTTTCAAATGTACTTCTCTTCTAAAATTTTAGACGGTCTCAAACTAGGCATGGTATACATCAGTTAAATTTTTAGTAGGCCTAAGTAGTGAATGTTTTTAAACATGTATATTTTCTTTTTCTTTGTTCCTTAGTATCACGACAATGATTTTTTTCCTGTATTGGATGCAACATTTGTAATGGTGGCTCGTGATGCTGAAAATAAAGGGTAATTGCTTTTTTTCTAATGATTATTAAATATTTCAAAGATGCATGAAATTGAAGAGAAGTTCAATTAATTAATCTCTAATTAATTTTCTTATGCCTGTCACCTGCTCACAAACAGTTTTAGCAGTTTTGGTGCATTTGTTTCAACTGGTTTTTATAGTACTATTTATAATACTTTATTGCAGAGGACAGGTCAATAGATCACGTGTTAGAGCAAATGTTTTCCATAGAAGAGTCCTTGGTGTGATCCCTGGTACTTCATAATCTTGCAAGACCATTGGGGGTAAACCCAAAGCATAGAGCTGGGAGTTGCTGTCCAAGATCCACAGGGTATAGGTGAAAAAAAATTAGGATTTGAATGTAATCAGAGACAATGACACCGCACCTCTCAGGATGGTAATGTAGTCATCTATTTCTTTAAAAAGTATATTTTCTTGAATTACTATATCACCATTATCCCACATGACAATATATAATACTACTCAGTTTATACAACATCGTCACAAAAACTTTTGTGTGTGTCGTGTTAGAATTTGGCACATGCAAGGCGAAGCTAAACCCTTCCTTACCTTTTGAATGATTAGTTCAAGTCAGAACCCAAACAAGGTCACTGAATTACATTAGACTTTTATATCTCAAGTTTGGATGTGTTTGTTAACAGCTTTGTTGAGATACAGCTCACAGACTATATGACTCACCCTTTGAAAGTGTGTCAGTTACTGGCTTTTATTTACACAGTAATATGGTCTCTTAGGTCATTTTTCCAAAAATATAGTCACCATGAATTACAAAGTGATTCACAGTTCACACGTGTAATGTTTCAACACCAAACCCTTTACTGGTGTCCACTTCCTTCTACTGGTTTTACCCTGCTTCCCTCGACCCCCTTTCCTTGCTACCTACTTTACTTGCTACCTACTGACCTGCCTCTATGAAAGGCACCTTTTAAAAGTACCTTTTGGCACTGTGGTTACAGTATTATTCTAATAGGTTTTACTACCGTTTAACTCCTACTTCTCTTCCCATTGAACACTTCCCTCCACCATTGTTGTGATATTCTCTTCCCTGGCCTATTCCCCACTACCCCTCCCCAAGTAGCATACTGAAGACCAGTTCTCATGTTCTTTGCTTCAAGTTGATCCAAATTTTATCCCCACTGCTTCCTTACTTCCTTTCCTTGTCCTTTCAATGGAAAGATCAAATAGACAGTTTCCTACAGTGTCCTACTTTCTAGATTTGCCTCCTTGTTACCTCACAGTGATATTTTTGAACAAAATTCTCAGGCCATATCATTTTCTGAAGCTGAAGTTTGAGCTGAAACCCTGATAACCTGATTACATTCAAGTTCAAATTTTTAGGCAAGAGTACACATGGTGATACTATGTATGCATCTTGTATTATATTCAGTATTACATGCTATGGGGGGTTATAGATGTTTCCCAGAATGATGTTTGGATTCGAGTGACCACATTAGCATCCTGTTGTTAAGTACCATTTATCCTCTCAGAATCAATGATAATCTATGGTGCATGGTTTGGTCCAGAGAATTTCCATAGCACACTTTGAGAATAGCTAGTTCCCCCCATCTTTCTCCAGTACTTGTCATGTCCAATCCTGATAATTACTTTATTATTCTCATTGGAGAATGTAAAAATGATTCCTAAATTATGTCATTCCAAACAGACAAAATCCCGACATCCTTCCCACATTAATTTGCAGCTCTGTAAAGACACACTTCCCTGTGTCAACTGGGCCCATTTTATTTGTTAAAGTCAGAATCAGGGAGCAGAGTGATAGTACGGTGGGTAGGGCCCTTGCCTTGGGCTCGGTTGACCTGAGTTCCATCCCTGACACCACGTATGGTCCTCCTAGCACCTCCAGAAATAATCTGAGTGCAGAGGCAAGAGTAAGCCCTGTGCACAGCTGAGCATGACCCCCAAATAACAACAAAAATATGTCAGAATCAGGGACCAGAGTTAGTACAGAGATTAGATTTTGGTGAATCCCCAAACGCTCCCAGGGTGCTCAAGCCCCACTGAGCCTAAATAACACTGTATCCTTAGCCCCAATATTGACTGTGCAGTCCAGTTGGCCAAGAATCAACAGGGGTAGCCACCGCTTGGGAGGCCCCCATAGTGACCCCTCAATCCTGCCAGTGTAAGTCAGGATGGTATTTGATTTTTGCCCTTTATTAGACTTTTCGGGTAATGAATTTATAAATAAGTTAGTGATGGGTTGGTTTTTCTGTTTCTTTCGTTTTTTGAAAAAAAAAGCTGTGAACTCGTGGATTGTAATATGGGAAGTGCACCTAGTATATGTAGCCATTGTTCTTCAGCATGCTTCAAGTTTGCCATCTTTGGTCCGAGATGCTGCTTTAAGCTGGCTCCTGTGATAAGCTCTTTTGACATTTCTTCTCTTTCTGCTGAAACAAGATATCTTGGGCTCCTCCTATTGATTTCCTGCTCAAGGCCTGGAATCAGCCATTTCCCCAAGGGATCATTTTAGTGGTGTTTAGAGATATTTAGTAGAGACCCAAATCTAGGTCTTACAACTGTACGATATTTCTTGTCATAAATTCTAGGCCTTTCTGTGAACAGAACTAGGATGCATGCTAAGGAAACTGATAGCCTTCCTATGAGTTTGTATCTTGAGCTCCCAGTCAAATTGAAGTACATAGACTTCATGTCCTTTAACTTTGTACTTTATCATGTTCCGCTTAGTTTGAAATCTTGGTCCTTAACCAAAGTCACACACAGGACTTTCTCTTTTTTTCCCCATTAATGTAGAAGTACTGCTATTTATTCAGCCATTAATTAAGCTGATTGAACTGGGCATGAACTCCACATTACTTTTTAAAAAAATCATCATGAGATAGTTACAAAGCTTTCCTGTTCGAGATTTAGCTGTACAATGATTGAACACCCATCCCTCCACCAGTGCACTTTCCACCACAGTGTCCCCAGTATACACCCCCCTCCCAGTCTTTACCCTGCCTCCATGGCAGGCAATTTCCCCAATATTCTCTCTCTCTCTACTTTTGGGCATTATGTTTTGCTCGAATTTTCCTACCATCACTCAAGCGTGTCTGCCAGGGGCAGATGCTAGATCATTTATTGTCCATTGCTCATTTTGAATATCTTGGGTGCTGCAGCCACGTGCTTCTGGAATCCTAGATTGTAAGTGGTTGGGTTCCAGAGACATTTCTGTAGGGCACTAATTCATTTTGGAATTTAATTAGGTGTCTCTGGACCAGGGCTGTTGGTGTGCTAAGATGGTGCCTGGAGGAGCATTGTGGAGGTGATAGCCAGGCCAATGAGTGGGCGGGGAGCCGGGGAGGGAAAGCCTGTTGCCTCTGCTGCCATACGGCATGGAGATTTAATCCTGGAACCCGCATACCTGGGCCTTGCGTGTGGAAGCTCTTGGTCTCCAGGATTCCATCTGGAGTAGGCTAGGAGACTGCACCTGCTCCATCTGGGGTTCCCCAGTGAAACTGGCTCAATATGGGGCCAGGAATGATCTCTGGTGCTGTGGTGTCTTCCAGGACTTGTTGCTGTGTCTCTGGACCAGGGCTGTTGGTGTGCTAAGATGGCGCCCAGAGGCAACATTCACACATAAGACTTTCAAAATGATAGGAACAAATTGTGTGTGTGTGGGGTGGGGCGGGGGAAGAGAATGGTACACTTTGCTGTTGGCCCAGACAGCCTATGGGAAGCCTGATTTGTGTTAGGAACTCGAGGCAGGCAGCCGGCGGCGAGGTCTCTTGTGCTGCCTGAAAGGGTGACTTGGACCATTCAGGTTAGATTAGAGAACCCTTTGGTGATTCTGATCTGGGTGAAGAATCCACCCATCTGCTCTGTCTCCAGCAGCCCTCACTCATCTGCTGTTCTTAGCAGCTGGCCTGGTACTCTGTGCCTAGTACTATGGGCATTACTTAAAATTTCTCCCCCAGCTGACATACTTTGGTTTTCTGAGCTACTATTTCTGTTTCATGCTTCCAGTGCTGTTTCTTCACAACTTTGGATTCTGTCATAATGATCCATTTTCCTTTTGAAAAATTGTGCCCTGCAGAAAGTGGGAAGACCTAATTTACTAAACACTCATACACCTTCAGCCAATTTGAGTAGTCAACATTTGCCTTACTCTCTCACCTTTCATCAATACACACATATGCACATTTCAGTCATCAGTGGTTACGTAGGTCCTCAGAATAAGGTAGTTCTCCTAAACAACCTTGGTGTCTTTGATAAATCGAAGAAATTCAACAGCAAATCATTTACATTTCCTAACATCTCAACATAGGCTATCTACCATATTAGATTTCCTATAGAGCATCTTTCCTGGATCCAGTGTCTGAGCAAGGATTATGATTTGACGGTCATGTTCCTTTCAAATAGTTCCCCTGGTAAGGATGTGGTCTGACCATAGAGCACATGCCTCTCATGCCAAAGGTGGAAGATTGTTCCCCACCATGCCACTATAAAAACAAAAAAACAGTGTCAGATAATGCTCAAATGTCTGGAGATCTGTTTTGATACATGAGTCCCAATTTTGTTCCCTGACACTATATGATCCCCTGAGCATGGTTGCAGGATTAGCCCCTGGACTCCTGCGTCAAAAAAATTATTATTTTGTGGCTTTGAGACTGACTTTTTCATTGTCGTTCTCCATCTGGCTGTGCTGTGGGCTACTCCCAACTCACTGTTGTTGGGGACAGTTCTCAGGCTGCTCAGATTCAAACTGAGTCTCCTGTATGCAAACATGTCCTACAGCCCTTTGAGGCATCTCCCTGGCCTAATATTCTTGACTTTTTTTTAAAAGCATCCAGTCAAATTGTATTTTAGACTGTTTTATGACCTATTTGGAATGTTTTCTCATGAAGAAAACTCATGTGAAACAATTGGGCAACTGACTATAAGTTTGGTAGTGTGAATATTTTAGTGTCTGTCTGACTATCTATCTATCTATCTATCTATCTATCTATCTATCTAACTTTATAGTGTATAGTTTATTGTTGGATAACATTGGTTTGTCCTTGCTTCTCCTGCAAGGGAGTTTAGATTTATTAAGTTGCACCCATCACAGTGTTCCCAAGGCAGAACCAATTCCATCAAGCACTCCTAATCCTATATAGTTTTTCTCTTTTCTTTATGCCCTTTGCATGGTTTAGCAAAAAAGGTTTGTATAGACACAGGAAGACAGTTAATAACATGGGAGTTAATTGGCTCCAAATAACATTTACTTGTCCATCCACCATATTTACTTGACTTAAGCCTCAATTGACCTTAGTTCCTATTACCTCCAAATGGAGGTCCGAGTGAGGGATTTTGATGGACCCAGGGCAAGCTGTCAGCTACCCTGGCATTGAAAAGGGACAGGCTAAGCTCCATAAGAAGTATAATAAGTTAAGAACATGGTCATGGAGTAAACTCTGTCATGACCCAAAACGAAGTAACTGAATAAGGACCCTGCTGGGGGTAGGAAAGACTGACCTGGCCTGAAGACTGTATTCTGGGACACATTGTGAGATGTCTCCAGGAAGAGCCACCCTCGAAACTTAATATATCTTACTGTGTTCATACAAAATGACGAGAAATATTAGTAAGAAGTAAATTTAATATGACGTTTAAATGGAATCCTCGCTAAGGAAAGGAGAAAGAAATACATCCTTAAATGGAATCTGGACCTTGAGTGGATCTCCTAATAATCTAGACTGCTGAACCCTTAGGTGAGATTTTGTCCCTGAGTTAATTTCCTAGAAGAACTTCCCCTGATGGAAGGGCTCTACATCCGTTTATTGTTATGATAATGTTCAACCACACCTATGTGTACCATTACCCTTCACAATTTCTATATAACTAGCAATTAATGCTGTAAGAGAAAAACATAAATGGTCAATAATTACCAACCAGCCTGTGGCCCCATTTGTTCCTTCATTGGCCGCTGTCAGCTGGCTGGGCCACTGAATGCACCCACATTTGAACTCAAAGTTTATAACCAGAATTTCTCAGAATTTTTTCAGAGATCTTGGGTGGAACACTTAGTAGGAGTTATCCAAAATGAATAGCAAAGATTAAAAACTGGTAATTAGTTGTTCATCATTGATTTTATTAGCTAATAGTATTAGATAATCTATTAAATAATTAGGTATTAGCTTCTTTTATTTTCTTCCTTTTAGGCCGGCATTTGTACATCCACTCATCATTCAAACTCCAGAGGAAGAAGAGCTCTTTCAACAAGGCGAATGTATATTAATTTATTTATAATGAAATGCAATTTTAAAAGCAGAATTAATTGTAACTCAGGAGGTTTTTAAAGTTATGTATGGAATTCTCCTCAACTTTTAGTGTCTTACTCATGCTGAGATTTGTTGAAATTGAAAATAGGTTTTGTTTCATATTCTAATAATTTTATTGCTCAGATAATACATATTTTTAAGTAATTTTTCTTATTTTTAATTAATTGGGAACTACATCTTACTGAATGAGCTACTGATTTGGCCTCTAGAGCAAGATTTCTGGAGATCTCACTTGAGGCTGTGTAATTTCCATCTGGAAGCAAAGAGTCACTGAACGTTTTAGGTAGACTCCACATCCTAGTGTGGAATAGCTTGCAGTGGGAAATTGACACCTTCCAGGAAGTTTTAGAAATCTTGAAATAATGCATCGCTAGGGACCAAGACACTCCAGTTAGGAAACTCCTGCCCCCTCGTACTATAATAAGACATCATGATTATAGTTACTTCTTCCATGTTGCAGTGAACAAGGGGAAAAGGATTGATTTTTTCTCTGCATCATTACTGAAAATGGCTCCCAGCGCTGAGGAGAGGACAACTGTCCACGAGCTGTTTCTTAGCACATTGGATCCAAAGTAAGTGAGAGCGCTGAGATTCCAGACTGGGGAAGCATTTAAAACCTAGTGAGTGATTGCAGGAGCAAGTTTGCCTGAATACATTGTGAATTGTTAAAAAAATATTGCACATTTTAGCATGAAAATTTCTTCTTGTTTGTTTGTGTTTTGGGTCACACATGGCAGTGCCCAGAGCATACTCCTGGATCACTCCTGGTGGTGTCCAGGGGACCATCTGCAGTACTGGGGATTGAACCCAGGTTGGCAGTGAGCAAGGGACACACCCTACATGCTGAACTATTGCTCTACCCCCTAAAAACTACGAATTTAACATGTTTATGAAAATCTACACTTTCAGAACCATCAATTTTCAAAGTCGAGTTTTGCCCCCTAATGCAGTATGGATGGAGAATTCAAAACTGAAGAGCTTGGAAATCTGTCACCCTCAGGTACTGTACTTTCGTGAACAAGCTATTAAACAAGACTAGCTTGCATTTGACATAGTCATCAAAGATTCAACCCCTGTTGAAATTGAACTGTCTTGTGTGGCATTACTACTTCCTTTGTTCTGTATGTGAGGGTGGTTCCAAATTTCTGTTTAGTAGGAATTATTTTCTGTTCTATAGGAGCGGAACATTTTCAATCGTATCTTTGGTGGTTTTCTTATGAGGAAAGCTTATGAACTCGGATGGGCTACTGCATGTCAATTCTGGTGAGTTAGACTTAAGATAGTCTGAGAAGCAGTTTTTACTATCACATTGAATTAAAATGTTTTGCATCAATCTAGATGTTAGGGAAAAGTTTCATTTAAAAATAAATAAGAGTCTTATAGCAGCTGGACTTGAACTTCATTTCAGAAACCTTTTACCCTGACTTTGTAAGTTAGTACCTTAAAGACTATTGCTCTGACCTTGTAAGCTAGTCCATTAAAGACCTACTGGGAAAACAAAGTGAGGATATACAAAAGGAAAAGGATACAGTGAATTTGGCATTGGCTGGTTCACAGTGTCTTTTCATACCATTTCCTGCTGGTATGGTTATTTCCCCTATATTTAGATTTATATAATTCTTGGGTGACTTGGAATTTGACTTTTGTCATTTTTTATCAGAACTAGAGATGATGTGAATTTTTCAACTTCATTTTGTGTTTCCCACTAGTGGTTCCCAGCCATTTATAGTAGCTGTGGATGATATCATGTTTCAGAAGCCTGTTGAAGTTGGATCATTGTTGTTTCTTTCATCCCAGGTAGGTGTGTGATGATGAGAGATGGGATTCAATTTTTTATTCATTTGGGCCAGGAGCAATGTTCACATGTTTGAAAGCTTCTCTCTCTCTCTGTATGTGTTTGTGTATCTCTTTCTCTCTCTCTCTTTTTTGGTGTTTGGGCTGCATCTGGCAATGCTCAGGGGTTACTCCTGGCTTTTCATTCAGGAATCACTACTGATGCTGGTCAGGAGACCATATGAGATGCTGGGGATTGAACCTGGGTGGGTTGAGTGCAAGGCAAGCTTCCTACCCACTTTTCTGTCTCTCTGACCCCAAACCACCCTTTCTTTTATATATGCCGCCTCCTTCCTAATGTGATAGATTAACTACCCTTTCCATGATCTCTTAGGTTTGCTTTACTCAAGGCAAATACATTCAAGTCAGAGTTCACAGTGAAGTGGCTTCTTATGATGATCAAGAACATACGACCACCAATGTTTTTCATTTCACATACATGTCAGAGAAAAAAGTGCCCTTGGTTTTCCCCAAAACTTATGGAGGTAAGCTACCATGACACCCGATTCCCAATGAAGGGAAGAACTCTAAAGAAAGTTTGTATCCCTTTGAGTTGTTGTGGAAATTCCCTGATACCTGTCAGTACAGTAATATGTTTAGGAGATTGAGCTTTTGAGATTCTTCAGCGCTGTAGGAAAAGATGCCTTGTGGTCCTCAGGCAGCTGCTGGCTGCACTGTCCACTTGGCCATTGTCTGAGGTGGGTGTCAGCTGTGGGCGGCCATTGGAGTCAGAGCTAATCCACTGGTAATTGAAGATTAGTATTCTAGAGCGAGGGGTGGAACTCAGGCTTTGCTCCCCTGGACACTTCACACACCTCTGGCCCAGCCATGCACACATACGCCCAGCTTTGCATATCATTGCTGCCCTGGTGTTACTCAGTAGTCTTCTACTTGTCCACGTGATGTTTTTTCTAAGGCCTGAGAGTTTCTCCAGGGTTTTCTCTCTTCTGTTTCAGAGTCTATGTTGTATTTAGATGGACAGCGCCACTTCAACACCATGTCTCGGCTTGTGAACCTAAGAGGGTTCACAACTTAAGAAAAATCTTTCCCTTGAAGACCAGCGCTCCACAGTAATATGATGTTAATGAGGATCAAATGAAGTGTGTTCTCTTTAGGGCCTTATTGTTTTCCTAAATAGAGAAGAATGAATGAAGCTTTTAGAAAACCACATTAAGAGAGTAACTGAATGGAGCGGAGGGATTAAGAGTTAACTGAATAATAAATTCTTTGCTGAAATGTAATTGTGATATCACTATGTTGCACCCAGTTTGCTAAAGAATTTAGGTTAAATTCTATTTTTTTTCAGGATTATACACGTGATATTCTCCCACAAATTAAAACTCATTGTAGAAGGTTTGCTGCCAGGGTTTTAGGATGACAGTTTTGTGTGTATATGTGTACATGTTTTTGTCTGTATGAGTAGGGTACTGAGAATCAAACTCTGCTCACACCTGCCCATCATGCACACTTCAATGAGCTAGACATACAAGTAGCCTTAGAAGGCATAAAATTTCTTTAAATTATAGTACAGATAACATTGTTGTATTCCTGTTTATGGTTTTTGATGTACACAATTACTGCAACTTCAACACCAAACTGACCAAGACACCTTTGGAGGGTGTTTTGCTTGCCTGACTTTAAAAAAAAATTGACCACACTAGCATTGCTCAGAGGTTATTCCTACCTCTGCACTCAAGAAACACTCTGGATGGGCTCAGGGCACCATATTTGTTGCCAGGTATTGAACCCAGGTTGGCCGCATGCAAGGCAAGCACTTTACACACTGTACAGTTGCTACATCCCTCAAGCCTGTTTGATTTTTCAAATGAAATTCTCCTTTGTTATCTAAAAATCCTATCTACCAGTCACATTTTTGTTAATATTATTTTGTCTCCCCCTTTTTTCCTGTTTTTTTTTATTTTGTTACTGTCATTGATAGGTTTGGGTGAAGGAATTGAACAAAAAATATGAGTCATAGCAAGAAGGGTTCAGAGCTTTAGATGGGAAGATCCCAGCACTATCTCTTTGTTCATTCTCTTCAAAAAACATTTTACTAAAGTGTCATAGTATGTGTTCATTGTACATTGACCAGATTGCTCATCACCACACTCCACTAGGGACCTTACAAGATCTATCTGAGGCAAACGCAAAACAGTACAAATAGCAGCTGCTTCGGCCTATAGTCCATTCACTATGTGCTATGCAGGCACTACCCAATCACGTTACATGTACTAACTCATTTACTTCTCTCGCCAGTGGTATGAGGTTGATCTGTAGCCACCTCTTGAGTTAGATCACTCAGGAAACTGAAGCATGGAGAGCTTATGTTCCTTTCTCGAGGTCCCAGAGTAAGTCATGGTGCCGGGATTCAGACCCAGGAAGTGTGGGTCTTGCAGCCCCCTTTTTCTTTGTGTGTTTGTTTTGGTGGTCCACACCTGGTGGTGGTCTGGGACCTGTCCTTGGTTCTGTACTCAGGAATGACCCCGGCAGTCCTCAGGAGATCATATGTGGTACCAGGGATTGAAACAGGGTCAGCTGCAAGACCTCATGCAAGGTAAGTTTTTTCAAACCTCTATACTTTCTCTCTCTCTCCCTCCCTCTGTTCCCTCTCTCCCTCCCCCTGACACCTCATACTCTTGTCAGTACATTGTGCTGCTTCTGGGAATATAGTCAAGTAGCTCATACCAAATACCTGCATCAGCGAGGACCCCAAAGAAAGGTGTTCCTGTGAGTCTGTAGCCATGACACAGTTCCTTCCTTGCCAGGCCTGGAAGTTGATCGATTGCAGAGGGGACAAAACCTAGGTCACACAGAAGGAAAATGCCACTTCAGGCAAGGTGCTGCCAGGGAGGAAGCAATCTTCCTCTGTGGGGTCTAGCTCAGTCGTTTCAGAACCATCTAGGTTTCTTTTAAACAATTCATCTCAGTTGAGAGTGTATAGAAACTCAATAAACATTGACAAGACCTGTGGCACAAAACTGTGTATTGAAACTGCAGTCAACATCGACATGACAGGTGTCTGGCACAAATAATCCTGGGAACAAAGCCAATGCCTGGTGTGCAATTCCAGTTGGAAACCTAACCCTTATTGCACTGTAGTGGCTTGCTGGTTACTAACTTTTTCTCTTTATGCTGTGTTGCCATTTGGAGCCTCACCTATCCCCTTGCTACAATATTTTGCATTTATCTTAAAGATAAGAAATTGGGGCCCCACTGGTGTCTAATGGAAGGGACTTATCTTGGGAAGTTGGGCTGCATTCAGGAAAGTTTGGTTAAAAATAAAATTTGTCAACTGCCTTTGAATTGTATTGAGATTAAGCTTTACAAATTTAGTTATTGTTCTTTTAGTTCAATAAATTTTTAAAATTTTCAATATTAGGGGCTGGAGTGATAGCACAGCGGGTAGGGCGTTTGCCTTGCATGCAGCCGACCTGGGTTCGATTCTCAGCATCCCATATGGTCCCCTGAGCACCACCAGGAGTAATTCCTGAGTGCAGAGCCAGGAGTAACTCCTGAGCATTGCCGGGTGTGACTCAAAAAAAAAAAAAGAAAAGAAAAAAATTTTCAATATTAGAATCAGCACAAAATCTACTCTAGAACACAGGTTTTGCATTGTAAGAAATAGAGGCTTAGTCTTTATTATTATTGTTCATTTTCTCATTTTTTCATTTATAGATGTCAGGGAACCCAGCCTGTCAGATTTAAGGCATCTGTTATTCTAGTGAACTACATCTGTTATTCTAGTGAACTACATTTCCAAGTTGGAACTGGAAGGTTTTACAAGGGATACTGAGGAGGTAAGATGACATGAACCTGAAGGAGGCATATAGCACATGCTAGATATTTAATATTCTGTTCCTCATCATTAAGAAATTGAAAACTTTCATGCTAAGCGAAATGAGTCAGAAAGAAAGGGACAGACATAGAAAGATTGCATTCATCCTGGGAACATAAAGTAACAAAATAGGAGACTAACACCCAAAAATAGCTGAGATAAGTACCAGGAGGTTTACTCCATGGCTTGGAGGCCAGCCGCACACGCTAGGGGAAAAGGAAATTCAGATAGAGAAGGGAGCACCAAATAAAGGGTGTTGGGAGGATCCTCCCAGGATGGGAGATGCATGCTGAAAGTAAACTATAGACCGAACATGATTGCCACTCAATGCCTCTTCTGCAAACCACAGCACCCAAAAGGAGAGAGAGAACAAAAGGGAATGCCCTGCCACAGAGGCGTGGTGGGATGGGGGGATGGGAGGGATACTGGGATCAGTGGTGGTGGAGAATGGGCACTGGTGGAGGGATGGGTACTCGATCGTTGTATAACTGAAACCAAAGCACAAAAATTTGGTAATCTACAACTGTATCTCATGGTGTTTCACTAATAAAAATTTAAGTAAAAAAAAATAATAATAAAAATAAAAATAAGAAGAAATTGAAAACTTTTATATAGTACCAGTACTGCTAAGGGCATATCACGCAATTTCCCAGTATGGCTTGAATGGTTCTTTTTTTTCCCGAATGAGAAGTCCATCCTAGATACCCCAGTTTTATTACAGGCATGTATTACCAAGTCTTTAGTTTTGCCCGTGGTAGCCATTCAATGAGAAACATGAAAAATGGTGCCTCTGTATTGGTTTGTTTAGTGGAGTTCACTTTCTCCAGTGTGATTTATTCTTTGCTGTGTGTACATATGTGATGCTATGGATCTTTTTCTTTTCTCTTCTATTTTTATTGACTGAGATTTTGTGATGTACAATACTGTTAGTGATGATTTCCTGTACACGTTAATCTAACACCACACGCATTGCCATTGTACCTCCCTTTCTCCCACCCTCACTTACTCAAGGTTTCCAACACCGCTTCTTTTCAGTGCCTCTCCCACAGATTCAGTTTTACGGAACAGTTCTCCTCTGGTGTTGCCTTTGGCTTTCTGTTGCTACTTTGCTGTGTATCTTTAGGCCCAACATATGAGAGAGATAATTCTGAATCTGTCCCTTTCCTTCTTACTGACTTCATTCAGCATAAATATCCTCTAGTTCCATACATGTCACGGAAAATTGGATGATTTTGTTCTTTTTTGTGAATGGTGTGGTTTCAGTTTTTTTTCTGTATATGGCTATCCAGTGTTTTCAGCACCATTTGGTCAACTTAATATACTTCATAGTTTTTATTTTTATTTTGGGGGAACACCATGCAATGCTCAGGGGTTACTCCTGGACCATTACTCAGAAATTACTCCTGATGTGGCTTGGGGGACCATATGGGGTTCTAGGGATTGTATCCAGGTCTGCTGTGTGTAAACCAAGTGCCTTACCTGCTGTATTATCTCTCTGGATCCTACTTGGCGCCTTTGTCATAGACTAACTGTCCAGAAATCTGGGGATTTAGTCAGGAATCACAATTCTGTTCCATTTGTCTAAAAGTCTATCTTTAGTCCAGTACCATGCAGTTTTGATTTTTATAGCTTTGTAGTATAGGTCACCGTTGAGAAATAAAATGCCTCCCATATTCTTTTTGAAATTATTAGGATTGCTTTGGGTGTTTTCGGACTTTCTGCTTCCATATAAAATTTTGTAGAGTTTGTTACAATTTTTTGAAAAAAGTCATTGGCATTTTTGAAATAATGCATAATTGCATTGACTTTATAATACTTTGGGTCGGATGGTTATGTTTTTCAATATTGATTCTTCCAATCCATTAACAGGGAATGTTTTTCCATTTTTCTGGTATCCTCTTCTATTTTTTTCTTTTTCTGCTTTTTGGGTCTGCTTTTTGGGTCCGATAGCACAGCGGTAGGGCGTTTGCCTTGCACGCAGCCAACGTGGCCAACCCGAGTTCGATTCCTCCGCCCCTCTTGGAGAGCCCGGCAAGCTACCGAGAGTATCTCGCCCGCACGGCAGAGCCTGGCAAGCTCCTCGTGACGTATTCGATATGCCAGACACAGTAACAACAAAGTCTCCAATGGAGACGTTACTGGGCCCGCTCGAGCAAATCGATGATCAACAGGAGGGCCTTTACTTACTTTACTTACTTACC